ACGGGAGCGCGAAGCACTACCACTCAGCCACCGGGCGTCACTTCATCTAATCTACAGTATTTAAATCTAGTTATCCGTATAGTATACGGGAGATAGTTATCTATATTAAAAACGTGTCAAATTTTCTCTTTTGGAATACAAGCTTTCGTCTTCGTTAATCCAATAATCTATGAATAATTTCAAAGGATTTTATTTTTGAAATCAAGTTACTTATCAAATCCATCTTGCATCGTACTTCTTTTGCACAAATTAAGTGATTAGAGTGATAAATAAAAAAAATTAATTACAATACAACTGTTAACGTTTGATTCATAATCAGTTTAACGATTTCAGCTTTTATCTGCATCAAAGTACTGTATCTGAATTTGTTAATGAACGTTTTTAGAATCTTTTATATTAGTCAAAGCAAAGCAAATTGCGTATGAAAAATGGTTGTCTTCTTTTATGTACTTAACTTTCCAAACTTAATCCAATTCGTTGTCAATAAGTTTTCAGGTTTTAATAAACTGAAATTCAAACGCGATGATTAATACTTAAGTGCATATTTTTAAAAGATTTACGACCCAAAACAATACTTAATTAAATCCTTAATGTATTCGGCAGGCTTTTGGATTTAGGTGAAAGACTGTTTCATCTTTCTGTTCCGACATAAAAAGATTAATTGCATATAAAATTCTTTGCATAATCACGTAAATTAATGAATGTGAAAGTGATTTAAATATGTTGAAAACTTAATTGAAAAGTTCTCAGTCGAGGTAGAATGCTAAAAATCATTATGAAAATAACTTTTTTCAAAGAGGACGGAATATTGTTATACTTATTGGCAACAGATTTAATTGCGCGATGATTTCTCATTTATTGAAAGCAAATAAATGAATATAAATCTATTGTGTGTTGATCAAAAGAGGTTTTCTACGCGTTCTGCTGAATCGAAAATGACAACTCTGAAGCCTATACTGATTAATCTTTTGCTTTTTGCATTTTATTAATTAAAGAAAACACTACGTTGAAATTATGCTAAATTATTTGGAGTACTTGACTGTTGAAAAAATTAAATTATTTATTTCTAATGCAAAGACAAATATTTTTCTTGCAGCACGAAACGTTCTATTTATATTCAAGAATTTCTCCCTATTTTCACAAAATAAATTTTATTAAATCTCAACTAACATTGCACATTGTTGCGATTGTATTTTTTAAATTCATGCGTATTTTATTTATCAACATAATTTAAATTTCTGCTGCTTTTATTTCTTATTTATTGGCCTTGCGAAATTAATTATATTTTGTTTAAATTAGATTACACTAACTAATTTGGAAATCTCAATGCAAAGGAGAAAAAACTGCAGTATAAATGTTTAATATTAAACTATTAATGCATAAGTCATTGTTTTATGAGCTTTTTTTCGTTTTATTGAGCATATTATCTATACCTATGCATAATTTGCTAATGTAATAAAAAGGAAAAATACGCGAAAATCACTTACTGTATTAATAAAGTCCTAAATCGTGTTAATTATGTAAATTGCTGTCAATAAATAAAAAATCATTCCTTTAAGATAATTCATTTTATCTAAAATAGAATTTTATTTGACGTAGATGAGGAAATAAAAATCATATTTTGTTTTCGGAGTTTTACTTTTTTAATATAAAGGGGTCTGATTATTTTTTTTAAAATATAAAATTTTTTTTAATGATATTTCTTAATGTCGTTTATTTCTGTTCGTTCATATTCCTCCAACCGCGAATTCAGAATTTCGATTGTATTATAGAATAAGAAAAGTGATGATGATGATGGATGTCCTACGGCGAAGGAAAGGAAAGAAAAATGGAGGAAAATCTTAAACATTTCTACTTAGACGAGTAAGGCATTTTTTTTTTCGTATGCTCTTAATTGTAAAAAATCAAAACTACGTCACTAAAACTAGAATTTTTGTAATGAATGCTACTCTACAGTGCTGTAATTAATGTTTTTGTAATTAATGTCCCACTACAGTAAAATAATTATATTTTTCATACATCTCATAGCTTTGAAACTACTAATTCTAGAGACTTAATCTTAATTTTATTGGAATTAGCATGAAATATGAAAAAAAAACAAGGGCTCACTTGTTTACGCACACAGAGAATGAAAATCTAGTGAAACTATCGAACTGTACTGTAATTCTGGTACAAAAAATCTTAATTCTGGTATTAAAAACTAAAATATGAGGTATTTAAACCATTCATTTGGTAGTTTTTCTGTTAGTTTCTAAAGTAACGGTTTACTGAAAATTCTGGTTTTTAAAATAGTTTTTATTACTACACATTTTGTAAAAACTACAAAACTGAAAAGTAAATTTAACCGATGAATGATTTTATAAGCCATGTTCTAAGGAATCTTGATAAAATTACCAAATTCTGACATATTCACTGAATTTTTATCTGATATTATAAAATCATATTTTATAATAAGTTCAACAAAAACAATTACCAAAGTTTTTGGGTAAAAAATATAGAGCTTTATCGTGTTAACATAGAGTCTGAAATACGTTTCTTTTTACCTTATTCTGGTAGTTTTTACCATATTTTTTTTCTCAGTGCAGAAATATAGACATATAAGTAAGTACATGTAAAAAGCTGTGTCTTTTATGCTTACAAACTCTTATTAGATTCTAAAATATAGGTTGTGCGGCCACCTGGCCGGCGTTATTAAAAAAAATAGGTGTGTAGAAGCATTTTTAATAAAACGCAACAACTTTATTTAAGCGATACTGAATCCTTAAAATTATGAAAATTTGTGGTGAATGTAACTTAGCTTTTTGAAGTTGGGGGTGATTACTTCAACTTAAAAAAGTGAACACGCAGAATCTACTTCCATCATCTGTACATACATTTCATTTTTTTTTACCAGTATTATCGCGTATAATCAAAATATTTGGTTTAGAATGTTTTCCTTTTCACAAATAAAAACAATCTAAACAATAAATAAAACTAGGGAATAAGAAAAGATTATTTGAAACTTTTTATGACTCCACTGGTTTCATTTATTTCGATCAGAAGACGGAATAAAAAAAAATGAGTGAAGCTACCATTTTTCTGTTAAGTTTGCTGAAAGCAGAGTGTCATTTTTTATATCTTCTCTCTCTGGAAAAGGCATTGGGTTTACACGAATAACTCATTGAATTGGATTTTATTTCCAGTCGTAAATTTTTGTGAGCTCCGGTGGTCACTGCTATATTGTTACATGTATGAGATACTTGTATTTCGAAGAAAGTAAATAAATCTTTTTATGGCACTTCTTCTGTACTGCAAGAGTAGAGAAATATTGTTCGTTTCTTTAATTTTGTAGAAAATATCTGGCAATAACCATCAAAAAGTGCCGTAAAATTGCTGGAGATTACACACCAATCTGATTAGTGATTCATTATTAAATACAATGTTATAAAACGGCTTGTTTTTAATGTTCAAAGCTAACAATAAGGTATATATATAGTGTTAATCACTAATTATACTTAACTTTTTTAATAAAAAAATGTACCATAAGGTTTTAGCTGAATGGTTTGAAAAATTCAAACATATTACAAAACTGAATGGATTTGTTACTTGGAATATTCTCCAAATTTTAAATGCTTAAGGAATTGTGATAGGGTAGAGTTGGATAAAACGGGATATGTGGCCTTGGGACCAAACTATTGCAGCTATCTAGCGGACGACGACAGAAACTTGTCATTTGACTGTGATTATATCATTTTCAGCTCGTCCCGTCTCCAGATCACTAGTTGATAAAAAGTTGTAGGTCTCAGAACTTTTTTACTCCATTCTTCTGCCATTTTCTACATTTACGTGCGTTGTTTTTTACATTGTACTGTCCATATATATGGGATTACAATTCCGGTGTGTATTACATTTGATGAAGCATTTATTATCGAGTATTCTCATTCCCACTCAATCTAATTTTTCTTTCACGTTTAGGCTGCAGCCATGTTTGTTTTGAAAAGTGTCAGAGTTTGACAAAGCGGGACACTTATGAGTTGGATAAAACGGGATAGAGTTTTTTTATGTCCCGTTTTATCCACCTACTTATTTGTTGACCTAATACTTCTACTATGTTATTATTACTATATTGAAAGAAAGGTAAAAATGGCTCGTACAAATACATTGACCCCTGACTTGACAGTAGTTAAAAAGTTGGACAGATATGACACAGTATTCAACGCTGAACAAGGAAAAACGCATGAACAGGCATTGGCTCTAGAAGAGATATTATTTGGTATAACTCTAACGAACATACGAATGCTAGCATTTAAATTAGCTGAGAGAAACATTATTAAGCATAATTTTAGCACAGGAAAAAAATAGATGGAAAGTGTTGGTTGTATTCATTTCTTGGCAGAATTAAAGAACTTAGCCTCCGAAATCCCAAACCCACAAGTATGGCCTGAGCAAAAGGGTTTAATCACACTGCAGTTCAGCAGTTTCTTGAACTTTTGAATTCTCTATTAAGTTAAAAGATTGTAAGAAGATTTAGAATAATAAGATTACTCCAAATGATGTTTATAATGTTGATGAAACGGGAGTTGTAACAGTGGCAAACAAGCCTTCAAAAGTTCTGAGTCTACGAGGCAAAAAGCAAGTGGGTAGCTTGTCTTCAGCCGAATGAGGAGTTTTGGTTACTGTTGAAACATGCATCAGTGCAGCTGGGACATTCGTCCCTCCTAAGTTTGTATTCCTCGAGTGAAGGAAAACCCAAGACTCATGAATTATGCTTTCCCAGTATCGTTTTGAAGTGTATCGCAAGACCGGCTGGATCACTAACGCCCTTATTCACCAGCACGAATTACCTCCAGGTAATCTATGGGTAAGAGTAAAATCACGAGTTAGTGCGAAACGTTATTCTCCAGCCGAAATTTCGCCAAACTCGCAGATTTCATCGACAGTTCTGACTCTCCTGGTAACCCTCCATTTTTGCCGTGTTATCGGAGGGTTACCTATTGACGAGGAGCTTGTAAACAAAGAAGATGGAGGATTCCATCGCTACGTTTGAGCTTGAGGATCTTGAATTTCTTGAAACTGTTGAAAGAAGGGAAATATATGTCCAAACTATCAGAAATAATGACCTAGAAGAATTAGATGAAATAGACTTTTTTGAAAGATATCGTTTCTTGAAACCAACAACTGAAGAACTCATCTCCAAAATTGGCAGTCAGTTGGAATCTGATACAGATCGGAACAATGCCTTAACTCCAACGGAAAAAATTCTAGCTGCTGTAAGATTTTATACTTTTGAAAATCAACAAATTAATTTGGGAGATACTCAAAAAATGAGCCAACCTTCAGTCAGTAGAATAATTAGCGAGGTATCCCAATGTTTAGCGGAATTGAGGCCACAATATATTTATTTACCCCAATCAGAAGCAGAAAGAATGGAGGTAAGTTTTTCAGTATTATTATTTAATTATTTTACATGAGTTATTTTCTTTTTCTGTTGTTATGTATGTTTTTTTTGTCTTTTTTATTTGATACAAACCTTAAGAATGTTTACATTACATTAAAACTATTTCACCAGTAGATAGTTTCTTTCACTTCTGTTTTTGGCAGATTATATATATAATAAAAAAAAGAATAATAATATGGCATTATCTGAGTTAGTTAAATATATTTGTTTAATTAATATGTAGTTTATATAATACACACATCTTTACCAATATTGTTGTATTTTAAAAAAAAAGTGAGACATAATATTTTAAAATATTACTATAATGTACATTGTTATTTTAATTACAAAAACTGAATATAAACAGAAGAAAGAAAATATATTTGAAATTGATAATTTGCAAATCAAGCGATAAATTGGTAGAAATTTTAAAAGTTGTTGAGTTATGCTATGTTTTATCATAGATATAAGATTGATGTTAAATTTAGCCAAGTAATCATGCTTGTTAAACTTTTATTATATTATTATTCTACTATTAAACAATTTAATTCTTCTTTATTAGACATGGTTCAATTTTTCACCTTATTCTGGTTGCAACAAAGCTTTGTGAGTTTAAAATTGATACAGTGCAATACTTCCAATATTTTATACTTAATTTTTATTTTAAAATAACTAAGCTTTTTTTTAATAAATATCTGTCTAATTTAATGCAATTATTAACAAAATTTATTTAGGATTTTTATTTGAGTACATTCAAAAATTGCATTACAAACGTTTACTTAATAAAACGTAACAATTGATTGAGTTAATTTAAAGCATGCATATAGGATGTGGCAAAAAATATCACAATTATGGCTGAAAAGTAATTAAAAATGTTAAAACTTTGCACGCCTATAATTCATAAAAGTGTTTTAGTCAATCCTAAAGTACATTCTACTTGTGGCAATAACTAAATAATTGTCTAACTTCACGAAATTTTTTTTAGGTAAGCCAATCATTCAATAGCAAATTTGGATTCCCGTCTGTGTATGGGGTGTTGGACTGTACCCTAATTTCAATTTTAAACTCTGGAGGGCCAAAAGCTGAAACTTTCCGCTCAATAATTTTTTTTTTTGCATTGAATGTTCAAACGATGGCAGATTCGGATCTCTTCATTAGAAATATAGTAACAAAGTGGCCCGGCAGTACTCATGATAGTACTGTCTTCGACCATTCGTATCTGCGTGCACACTTGGAGACTGAAGTACCATTCAAATACCATGTTCTGGGGGATAGTGGCTATCCATTAATGCCGTATTTGATGACTCCTTTTTTGCACCCAACTGGAACAAATCAAGTCAGGTATTAGTTTGTATGCTTATGATATATTTGTTAATTGTAATATTAGACTAATTAGATAAAATATCAAATTTTGTTGTTGAAATTAATAAATTTGTGAAATCTTAAATTGTGTAATTAAGAAAATTCATGAATTATTCGGTAGTCATTCGTATTAACAAAGATAATCAGCTTGAATTCAATAACTAAAAATATTTTTATAAAAAGTTTTTTTAATCGCAAACAGTTTCTAAAGTGCATGCAGCATCGCAGATGCAATTACTTTACCCCAATGAGGTTCTTTTTCGCAAGGGAAAAGTTTAAACTTTGAGAACCTGATTCGTGAAACGTAGTCACATTGATGATACCATATGTAGTGTTAATATTCCCTTTTAAATAAATTCATTATTATTTGTGTCTCATCATTTAAAATTATAATATAATCAAAACAATGTAATGATAAAATAATCAAAACAATGTAATGATACAAGTATATGTTTGATTTGACTAGCTTATGCATGATTTAATTTTTCTTTACATGTGCAACTTAAGAATATAAATGTCAGGCTTTCTGAATTGTTTTTGTTTCTTTTCTTTTTGTTTTTGACAAGTTCTTTTTGACAAACATTGTCCGAGAAACTTAAATTTTAGTAGTTTAGATGGCACATACCCTACTTTTTCTCTTGTCTAGTTTTAAAAATTTGTTTTGAAAGAAGAAAGGGTATTCGTTTCAGGAATAAAAAAACATTCCATTGACCATATCTGGAAACTTCAATATATTATGTACATTGTACGAAACATAGCAAGGTTATTGTTAATAATTGTTTTATTTTCTCATGAGTAACATATTTAGGTTGTTTTTCCTTTTAGTTTAATCGTAAAAGAAAATTTGCAAAAATTTTTTAAGCATGTAAAACATTTGATTTTAACAATTATATTTTATGCTTAATATTAAAAAACAAGTATGTGCAGTATAGTTAGATAAAATACTAAAACTTTTATAAATTAAAATTTGTAAAAGGACAGTTTTTCAGAATTTGATTTTATGAAATCACAATTTTACAAATTGAACTTTTGTAAAAGGAATGTTTTTGAAAAGATTCCAATTTACAACAGACTTCATGCTACATGTATATTAAAAATTGCATATATTAAATTTTGTTAGTAAAGTATAGGTTGTAAATAGAATTAGCTGGTATATAAAGAGGTAAATTATTTTCTCATATAATGTTTTTCCTTACAGATATAATTCTACGCATGCAAGTGCCCGCAATGTAGTAGAACGTCAATATGGTATTTGGAAGCGGAGATTTGCCTGTCTGGACGCACCTCTTAGGTGTAAATTACAGAATGTACAAAAAATTATTGTTGCTACAGCTGTCCTTCATAACTTGGCTCTGACGATGGGTGACCATACTGAAGAGAAAAAAACTGTTAGTGACGACGATCTCATAAATAATATGCATCAATTGGCTGGAATCGCCAAACGAAATACAATTGTCACAAATATTTTTATCTAATATTTTTTAGGATTACAAGTATGCAGCAGCTAAGGAAAACTTTCTGTTGGTGTTGGAGTATGATTGTTGCCTGTGTCTGAGTCTAATCGACTGCCAATTTTGGAGATAAATTCTTCAACTATTATAAGTGAACGATATCTTACAAAAAATCTGATTCTCATCTAACTCTTCTAGATCATTATTTGTTACAGTTGGGTCTTATATTTCCTTTCTTTCATCATCTTCAAGAAATTCAATTGTTTGCCTTATCTAAAAATAATTTTTAATAAAATCTAATGCTTATCAATAAACTTCATTTTCTCATAATGTAAATAAATTGTTTCTTTAATTTTTTTATTTAATTCTGTTTATTTATTGCACTAAAGTGTTTTTATTAATTACTGTTAAAGTGTTATGAGTAAGATAAATTGAGTAAAGAATTTTTCTTCGATCACAATACAAATTTGTAATACAAACATTCTGTTAAGCATCTCATGTTTTAAAGGAAATAAGAAGAAACACAATATAAATGAAATATATATTTGTTTTTTACATTACATTTCCTTTTTTTTACATTAAGGTTGGTTTGGTTTTAAACTTTCGCAATACTCTTTTTTTACAATGAGCATCCTATATTTCTGCTCTTCATTCCGCAACTTTGCGAATTCTATTTGCATTTTTACTTCATGTTCGTTTTTTAAAATGTTCATCTTGAGCTCATGCTCTTTTGCATCACTCTCCATCTTCGCCTCATGCTCTTCTTTACGAAGAAGAGCCTCGCCTTCAATGGCTGCTTTCCTTGCCTGCGCTCCATCTACCATAGCTTCTGCAGCCATTTGAGAAGCATTGGGTCTTCGCCTTGGCGTAATCAGAACTTTTTTTGTCAAAGGAATTTTTTTGACGTCACATTCGCTCTTTTACTTCTCAAAACTGCTGACGCTACCTTATCTTGTTCCTGTTCATCTACGGGATCTTCAGAAATCTCTGGGGCAACATAGCTTCCTGTGGGGAGAGTCGCGAAGTCCTTATCTGCTGTTATGGTTTCATTTAGCCCTTGTTCTTAAAGCATGAAATTAATCAAATTTTATAACAAATACTTATTATACTTATTTGTGTGTTTTAATAAAAATGAGTTATGTTTAAAACTCATGTTTTGCATAAACTTATAAAAATATTGGAACATTTAATAAACATTATAAATTATGGAATCTTAAATTATTATCAAAAAATATATCATTTTTAAAATTAATAACTGTTGTATGCAATATGTAATAAAAGCATATCTTGAGCTGTTATTATCATAAATATTTGCTGTTATAAAAATTTGCTTCCTTTAAATTTATAATATTTTTAAAAAGATAAAAACTAATAAACAATTTCAATCTGAAGTGCTTAACATTTTTGCAAACAAACAGTTAACAACAATAAAATAAATCAAAAGTTCTTGGCATAATTTAAGTATACTATAACATGGGCAGGTCAAAGGCTTTTTTTTAATACATTTAATTTTAACTAACCTCTATCCAAATAAAATAGCAAAAGTAAAAATTGTTATTTTAGCGTAGAAGTTGGAATTGGTTAAACAAGCCTTGCATGTGTATATATAATCTGAAAATTATTTATGAAGTTGAGCTTTGATAAAATATCTGAATAAGCAGATTAGATGTTTTTATTATTTTTGTTCTTGATCTTGCTATATATTGATGCAAGAAAGTGAACGCTAGCAGCAAAATAAGAATAAGAAGAAAAAAATAATAATTACTGGAAAATCATCTTCTTCACTGTCAATCAAATCTCCTGTTCTGCTATACTCAAAAGTAATGGCCTCTGAAGAATTTTCCTTTTGTTCTGAAAATATAAGAACATAATTTTTATAATAAGCAATTGATAAATTTTATTACGAAATAATATTTAATATAGTTTCTTGATATAAAATGTAACTAAAAAATCTGATTCTACACATTTTTTCCATCTTAAGTCCATAATAATAAGTGCATGATTGTGGGCATGGCATGAAAGCCTGATCTTCCTAGGTATTAAAGAAATTGCAATTTTGCTATCGCTTTTTCTTCTTTAGTTTAACTAATGAAGTAAAGTGAGCTGAGAATAAAACAGTGATATATTTACGATGAAATATCTTCAGTTTTGTATTAAATATGTGCTTGTAAACAAAGACTTTCTAATCATGATATGTTTTCAAATTGACAATACCATGATAATTAAAATGCGGAAATAATAAAAAATATTATTTTTGAAATAGAGAAGTGGTGTGCTGTATAATGCTGGACTTATAGCAACTAAATTTATAAAATTATAATTACATTATATTCTGGTCTCGTTTGTTTAAACATGGCACATTGGATAATCCTAATCTTCTTAATCTTCTAAAATTTTCTATAATAGATATTATTTAGGTTAGATATTTATTTTCATAATTACTTGCAACTATTCAAATTTAAATGTTGGGAGAGAAGTAATAGCAACTTCTTGTGAAACGCAGAACTCAGGGTACGGTGGTCCACTAAAACCCTGGAGTAGGTTGAACCATTATAAATAATTATATATTTAAAATAATTGTATTTATGTTAATAATGTGCATTATATTTATGTTTTTTCCGAAGTTAAAAAGTCATTAAAATTTTTTTTTAACAATGCAAGTTACACAAGGAAATATCAGGCGTTTCAATACACAGCTATTGGTTAAAATGTTATGATTACTTTACTTTAGTAATAAATTACTTTAACTATTATGTCTTATTTTCTTATGAAAGTATTAGTGCTAAAAAGAAAATATTTTTTAGTAAAATTTAATGAGCAATAGTGTGCAGTATGAATTACTAGTTTCATATTTGAAGACGTGTATTTTATTAAACTTTAAATATTGTTTTTTAGTTTTAAACTCAAAATAATATAATGGAAGTACTGTAACACCTAACATTTATCTTTCAATTGTATCGAAATACATTTTTGTTACATGATCCAATGTACCCCATGTGATGGACCAACCTACTCTAACTTGGGACACAGTATTTAAAATCCTTTTAAAAATTTATTATTAAAAAATTGTTACATGTGCATTTAAAAAAATTACAAATCAGTATAAGTAAGAAGTTCATCATATAAAATAAGCAAAAATTTGGGTGTTTTTTTGTGAAATAAAAAATTAAAACTGATTCAACTTCCAAAATTAAACTTCAAATATTGATTATTAAAAATTAGTGTTAGTTTTCTATATTATAAAATTCCTTTCTTGATATTATTTTTAATATATTAATATAGTATTTTATTCATAAATATTAAAAAAAAGAATTCATGATTAGAGTTACGTTAAACTATCAATGTTTGATTTTAAAAAATATTATCTATTAGTAAACAATGGAATATATTATAACTAATAAAGTATTGTTAAAAGTGAAACATACCTAGAAAATCTTTTATGAAGTTATTGTAGTCAGAATCACAATCTATATCTTCTTCTAATGGGTTTTTTACAACTCCCATGGCTAAAAATGTTTCATCCATAGGAGTGGTTTTCAGCATACTGCATCCTCCTGTTTTGTATAACTCTACTTTATCGGCAGCTTGGTTTTTTTGTGCCATTTTCTTCATGTTTTTATACTTATTTTGGAGCTGAATTTTTGTCCTTTTTCTAACTCCATGAATTGCGTTAAATTCAGTTGTTAATTTTTCCCACGCTTCTTCTTTTTTACTATTGAAATGAGCATTTGTAATTTTACAAGCAATTATATGCTTGTAATTGTCTATCAAATTGCTCAATATTTCTGTTTCGTGGTCGCTGAAAACAAATTTCTTTGGTAACGACATTATTAAAAAAGACTAAATTCGAAAAATACTGAGCGATTCTCACGCTAATTTGCCTATGCACGTGTTTATATTATATACAAAGTCACATGGTTTTACCTTGCCCAATCAAATGCCCCGTTATATTTCATGCAAGTGTTAACTCGAGTTGTGAAATCCTCTGCTGAAAACGGTTGGAGAATAAAAAGTGAGGGTTAATCTGAGAGTAACTCTTAAGCGTGGATTTTCCGATCCCCGAGTTACTCTTGAATTTAACTCGGTGTGGTGAATACTGCTGTAAGAAGACCTTCATTGTTTGGTTTTAAAAGTTCGCAGAATTTTCAAACCCTAGGCATAAGAAACCAGTGCTGTTGCTGCTTGTTGGATACAACAGTCACACCGAAAGTGTGGGACTTGTAAATTTGGCGAGTTATCAAGTTAATGTTAAGTAATGTATAAAGTTAATATTATCATCCTAACCTTCCCCCCACATACAACTTATCGCCTTCATCCCCTGGATGTCAGTTTCATGGCTCCACTGAGCACGTATTACGAACAAGAAGTTCGAAAGTGGCTGTTCAACCATCCAGGTAGGTGCTTTGCAATTTTACGAGGTTACAAAACTGCTCAACGCAGCTTATTCAATGGCAGGAGTTGCAGAAACTACCATTAAAGGGTTTAGCAAAACTGGTATAAGTTCTCAGACTTCTGACGTCTTCCCAGATCAACTGTTTGCATTGTCTGTTACCTCTGATCTAACAGCAAGAACCTCCAGGCGTTGGACACCAGACTGATGTGTGCAGTTTTAGGATAATTACCCTCTTGTTATCGACCTAAGCTACCCTTTTCCATCCTTCCAAAGTATGTTCTACCTGTACCTCAAGTATAAGGACCGCTCCCAGAAAATATGGCTGATAAGAGGAAGAAGAAAACTGTAGTAATAACACCATCTCTATGTTGCTTTCGTATGCCTGTTAAGGCAGAGGGATGCGATTGTTATTGTTCTCCAGTGGCGCCATCTATTGCCAAGAATTCGATTTCTGCCACACCCGTTACGTCACGTTACGTTATTGAGTGGACCCATTCATACATCCATTCATTCATCCACAGATCGTAATTTTGACTTGAATCAGAGAACGATCAATCTCCAATTCAGAACCCCCAGAGGTATCTCCAAAGTGAATTAGAAGTGAAAGAAAAAGAAAGGATGATTAAACTACAAGAAAGGACTGTTAAGAAATCCCTCTTAAGGGCACCAGACACATCTCGACAGTGAAAATTATGGAATAAGTGTTCATGTTTGAAAACTCATAAAATATTTAAAAACAT